TGTTTTATGGAGGTCTTTATTTCTTGTTCTGTTATTGGGATGTCTAACACATCGAGGCTGTTATACTGAGGTATTGTGTTTAGTGCTTCCATATTGGGGTTGTTTTCTTGGTTAAGGATATGGCTGTAATGTTCTTTCCAGCGATTTCTGATTTGTTCTTCCTCTTTTAGAAGTTCGCCATTTTGAGCCATGACTGGGCAGCTTATCTTCTTAGTTGGACCGTATACTTCTTTTACAGACTCGAAGAATTTACGATAATCGTGATGCGTGGCATACTCTTGAATCTGATTCGCTTTTTGTTACCACCAGTTATCCTTTACTTGGCGCAGTTCTCTTCGAAGCGTATTGTTGGCTGCTTTAAAGTTGTCTTGGATTATGTGGATTTGCAGTGACGGCTTGATGTGCTCTATGCTTTTGTTCCAACAAAGCCTGTATATGCGGTTGATTTTCGCCAAACCAGTCTGGTTGTTTCTTTTTGTTCGACTTTCCCAGTACTGCTTCGCTGGTTTTATGAATCGCATCCCTTCAAACTTAACAATGACGTGGGGTAAAACATTAGATACGGAAAATCAAATGCAATAAAATAATATAACATAATAAATAAATAAACAATCAAATCATTTTCCCGGAAGATGGATTGGAAATGGTAGAGCAGTATAATGTCCAACGAGGTTCCTGGACCTATCGCCAAAGGGCTACATTATTTGACGTCATTTGTAAAAGTGAAATCAATTCATCTCAACATTTACAATAAAGTACAAAATGCATTCGGAAGTATAAGAAGAAAGTTCAAAGAGCTATAAATAAAATTGAGCGAAAAATAAATTTGTGCAATAGGGAGGGTGGTAATCCTTTCGAACATGTAGAACATTAGAAACTAGTTAGTAGAAGTTTTAATTTATTAACTTATAGTTATTTAATACCTACGATTAATATTATGCATATTATTAGATCGCACAATATTTAAAATTCACAAGAAAAAAAGTTAAAAAATAATATCTTTAAATTTTTTACCTAGATATAATTTATTTCAATCTTTCATTTGGCTCGATTTTCCTTATTCAATGTTAATTAGCGCTGATCAATATTGCTGCCATGAATATAATCAGATTAAACAATTTAAGAAACCAGAGTCGGACTTCAAATTATTTTAAATAATAATTAAATACTTTTGTTGCTGTTAAAGTATCCAAAACAAAAAAAAGTATAAATTGTGGCATATCATTGTATTTAGGAGACACCGGCTTCTTTCAAAAACTGAAATAAAAAATACAGGTCCGTATTTAAAAAAAATAAGTTGGCTTCTGTATCTCACAAATTATCAGCTAATTTGAAAATCTAAAAATACTTTCAGATAGCCCTAATAAAATGGCTATGAGAATGTGCAATTAGTTTTTTAATTTTCGAAAAAGTAACGACAGGAAAAAATAAAATTTATTTTCAAAAAAATCAGTTTTTTCCGAAAAACTTAGCAATACTTGAAATTTTTAAAACTTTTCTGATTCCATCTTTGTGAACATCACAATACGCAACTTTGCCCTAATTTAACCATGTTCGTATCTATTACGGTTACCGAGATACCAATGCTCGTACCTCGAATTTGTAGCACCCTGTATAGCCTAATATATAGTTAAAATTACTTTTCTACTTTAAATTAAATTAAAACTTGACCCAAAAAGTTATACAGGGTGAGACAAAATTAATATTGAACATTGGTCAACACTAAAAAGCAAGTTACTCGTTTATTTTAAATGGAACACCCAGTATATTTTGTCGGTGTTCAATGGGGAATTTTTCAAGTAGCTGATGAAATTTAAGTTAGAGATGCCAAAAACCTTACAATTTAGGTATATGCTTTGTTAATAAAACTCATCTTTATTTTTTTCCTAGAATCCGAAAATCAATTTATATTTAGTGTGTTCCATTACAAGAAAACCAAATTTTGATGCGTAACTTTTTTTGGGGATACTCTGGAGAGCCTTCTATACTTACTTAGAAAATGCTCTAAATGAACCTACATATGTTCACAAAAATATGCATTTCAACAAAAAATTGTCGTTCTCCTTGCAGCCTCCGCGTCGTATAGGAGATACCCACCCTGTATACATGTGTAAAATTTTAAAAGTAATTTGGTATAAAAATATATCAACTGCATGGTACAAAAACCGAATTTTTCATAAAAACATGAACAAAAAAATAATATTATAGAATATTTTTAAAATAATTTGGAAATTATCAAGAAAATTGATATTATGAACGTGCTGATAATATGCAGTGAAATCACAAATTGATGTGTTGACCAAACTTGGTTAATACACTCATTATATATACGAGCCAAACCGCATGTATATTTTTACTATCTAAGGCCGTGGCCCAACGTAGCTACACACGTAGAGCGGAGCGGACAATAGAAAAATACGCGCCACTCCGCGCCTGTATGTGGGGCCCACTTCCATTTACTTCATATTATACCTATACAGGTTGTTAATTTGTTTATTACTTGCGGCAAGAGCTTTATGGTTGAAATTTGGCAACCTCGGCCCGCTCGTCGAAAGGCGACGCGACGGGACGAGTCGGCAGCTTAACTTAGTACTGATTTGGAATGTAGGCAGTGTTGCCATTCTGTTCCTCAATAAGTAACCGTCCAGTTAACAATCTGTATAAACAAGGCTTCAATGCATTTAAATGCTTCGCGGTCCTCTCCACTCTACGCTACGCTAGGTTGTACGCCTCATGTGGGACCACGCACTAATAGTTCAGTCATTGGGGATCAAAAAAGGGACCTGCTTGGAAAAAAGTCCGGAAGTTTTGAAACTTTGCAGGTTTATAGGTTTTGGGGTCCCTAACTAAAATCCATAAAATGCACATTCCCAGACTTGCCGCCGGCACCGCCATCTTGCCAAGATGTCGCCCAAAATCGGTATTTTGTGAATATCTCGAAAACTATGCGTTTTTCGCGAAAATGTGCATTTTATGGATTTTAGTTAGGGACCCCAAAACCTATAAACCTGCAAAGTTGCAAAACTTCCGGACTTTTTTCCAAGCAAAAATCCCCAATGACGGAACTATAATAGGTATATTAGTGTACTGTCATAAATAACGTTTATGGTAGGGAAACCCAAGCGGGGATTTTGGGATTTACTTTTGGGGTTTGGGAGTAAATCCCCATGTATCATCTTGAGTTTCCCTAAATTATACATATGTAATATTATTCTAAGATGATACACCAATAATTTTTAAGACACTTTTTCAGCTTCACATAAAATAAGCCTGTCAAACATAATATTTGGTTCCCTTAAATATTTTTGAATACTGATTATCACAGAATGGTTTATTATAACACTTAAAAAGTTTATTGAACAACATTTTGCAAATAATATAATAAATATATTAAGCCTAGTATTTAACGTTAATATTTTTTTTATTATAATATAGTAAGTATTATAAATTTTGTTTATAATCAGTATAATTAAGTCTAATAGTTTTGTAAAATTTTAAAGCACAGTTTTATAACATATTAGTTATATGTATATTATAGCTCATGCATTGTCTTTTAATGTCTATAGAGTTTAACCGAACCATTATAGAATTTTAAAACTTTTTTTCAAATAAGCGTAATTAATATCGTATAAGCTGCCATGTTTGTTATTAAAAACATACATCATTTTGCATGTTTCATTTAGTATAAGAGCTACCTTTCAAAGTTTTGCATATTTTTCGATAACCTACTACAATCCCTTATTTTTTAACGGATTTTTATGACATCCTATATAGATATGTAGTAGGTTTAAAATTGCTGTTTATGCCAACATGTTTGAAAGCTTTGATATTAATAAGTATAAGGTCAATATTTAATATAATTTGTGACTCTTACGTTGCTTTAACTGAATGAAGAAGAAAAACATCAGTATTTTTTATTAGTTCAAACAAGTTAATTTTGTTGTGATGTATTACTGTAACCTTCTAGGAATATTGTCAATGGAATAAGAAAACTTAAATATAAAAATATAGAAGATAACACGAGAGTTTTTAAATAATGAAATTGTTTTCTTTTAATTAATGTCTATTTTCTCTACCGGGTGCCCCAGAAATAAGTGCAAGTATTTTAAATGGTAGTATAGTTCCACCCCAGAAACACGCCTTTTTTCGCGAGAAAAAAAATGAAAATTCGGAATTTTTTGAAATTTTTTTCGAATTTTTTTTAGTTTTGATTTGGTTTGATATTTTTTTAATCATTTAAAAAATTATTTTTTTTAAATGATTAAAAAAATATTTTTTTTTGATAATATGGCAACATAGGTAGTAGATTAAATTTACAAGAAAGAAAATCCAGAAAAGATCCAGTGGTTCTCAAAATTTTAGCAAAAAATATTTTTTTTTGCTAATTTTCAAAGTGAAATAACTCCGTTATTTTGGACTGTTTCTTTTATCGATATATGTTTCTTTTATCGAGGTCTACCACCCCATAAAATACTTGCACTTATTTCTGGGATACCCTGTATAATCGTATGATCGAAAAAAAAACGGCGTCCAGTTGGCTGGGAAATGACGATTGATCACGTTTTCCATTAAACCCTGTGTATGTCAGGGTGTCCCAGAAATAAGTGCAAATATTTTAACTGGTAGTATAGTTCAACCCCAGAAAAACGCCTATGAGGTTTTTTTCGCGAAAAAAAAATGAAAATTCGAAATTTTTTGAAATTTTTTTTTTGAAATTATTTTAGTTTTTAGTTAAAAAACATAATTTCTTGATAATATGAAAACATAGGTATTAGATTAAATTTACAAGAAAGAAAATCCAGAAAAGATCCAGTGGTTCTCAAAATTTTAGCAAAAAATTATTTTTTTTGGAAATTTTCAAAGTAAAATAACTCCGTTATATTGGACTTATTTGAAAAACGGCAAAGAGAAAATATGTTTCTTTTATCGAGATCTACCGCCCCTTAAAATATTTGCACTTATTTCTGGGACACCCTTTATAATGACAGCGATCTTCATTTCATAAACATCGCTAAGCCGTTCTTTTTCGATAATACGGTATAATTATATATACTATAATTATCTATTAAAGGAGTTTTATATGGTTGATGTCTCTATGATTTACTTTATAAAAATAAATAAAATAACTTGTATTTATGATAGAAGCAGCTGAGAAATTGCGGTTTATTTTCAACAGATTTTGAACAAAATCATCCTTATAAAACATATATTTTTATTTTTAATTGCTTGATTTCAGTAGAATACTCCCAGAAGAACTACGTTCAGAAATATCCATTGACCCATTCCAGATTTTAATTAGAAAGTCAACTATTTATTCTTGTTTGCCTTAAAACGTGTTCTATATTAATACAGTCTAGCATAGCTGCACCAATAGAACTTCTCCTAGAGGCCATACATTTGACCAAAAGCCATTTGTTTGACCTGGGATCGTATTGTTCTACAGAGTTCAAACTGGAACTTCCATCTGTACCACCCAGTGCATATAGAAATTCGTTGACAGAAACTATTTCGTGAGTTGCTCTGAAAATAACAAAATTATACATTTACTAGCGTGTACCAGCGACTTCGTTCGCGTCGAATTAATCATTTGTAATGGTGATGATAAAGCAAAGCAAGAATTTCCATTAACATATAAAGTGGATAAAATTTTCTCACATTTATGTCAGCATGAGAAAAAACAATATGGCGATATTATTATATAACTTAGTAATATTTGAGGGGTAGTTTCATCTCGTTGGAATTTGACTTTCGAAAAATTCGTTTGCCAAAAATAAGCTTTTTACGTCAAGCAGTTTAAGCAGAATCGTGGTTAAGAAATTACCCAACTTTTTGGAACACCCTGTATGATTTAAAAAAAAATTAAAATGTAAAAAACCAAATAAATTATGCTTGTCCAAGCCTTTTCCCGAAAGACTAACCGTTTTTTAAATAACAAATATTGTAATATTTGAGGGGCGTTTTCACCCTCTTGGAATTTGAGATTCGAGAAACCCCTCCTTATTGAACCTCTACACCCCACAGTCAATCCGTTTGCCAAAAATCAGCTTTAAACGTCAAGCAGTTTAAGCAGAATCGTGATTACTCAATGGTCATATTTCATGAGACACCCTGTATAAATTTATAAAAAATCTTAAAATATGTAAAACAACAAAATAAAATATACGTGTTTAAGAGTTTTTCCGAAAAACTCACCGGTTTTTAAATAAAAAATATTTTAATATTTGAGGGATAGTTTCACCCCCTTAGAATTCGATTTTTCAAAATTCCCTTCTTATCGAACCTCTACACCCTAAAGTCAATCTGTTTTCTAAAAATCAGCTTTTTACGTCAAGCGCTTTAAGCAGGATCGTGATTAATCAATGACCAGATTTTTCGAAAAACCCTGTATACATTTTTAAAAAATCTTAAAATATGTAAAAAAACAAAATAAAATATACGTGTTTAAACGTTTTTTCGGAAATTTGGCCGTTTTATAAATAACAAATATTGTAATATTTGAGGGGTAGTTTCACCCTCTTGGAACTGGAATTTCGAAAAATCCCTTCTTATCGAACCTCTACACCCTAGAATCAACCTGTATGCCAAAATTGAGCTTCTTACGTTGAGTGGTTTGAGCGGGATCGTGATTAATCAGTATGTCAGTCACTTAAGGATTTTATATATTAGTATACTCGTAGATTGTGATCAATAAAATTGCGTTTATCTCATTAAGGAGGCCGAATTCGACAAAATATCAAGATATAACTTTAAAGCCCCGTTCTCAGAACTGCGACTGTCGCCAGCGACACGACAAAAGAACCAATCAGATTTGTACAAAATTCAAACAGCCGTCAATTTTAAATTTAGTACAGCTCCCATTGGTCGTTTGAAGTGTCAATCAGTGTCGCTCTCGACACGACGCAGTTCTGAGAACGGGGCTTAAATTGGCACTAAACGGCTTACGCAGTTTTGATATCAAAATAAAAAAGTCAGTGGCGCACATGGTTTTTTTTTGAAAAATATTCCAGTGATAACTCATATGCACGTCTCTGATGAATTTATCGACACTTTTTTAGCATTAAAATATGTAGCACTTATAGTAACTTTTATCCTCAAAATTTCATTCGAATCACTAAAAGTACTTGGAAGAAAATTATAATAAATTGAAAGATTATTAAGACTTTAACACCCTGTAGCTACGAAACAAAGCAGAATCGGACCTATATTGATATGAAAAATAAATCTTATTTTTATGAGAGGAATCTCCCCACGAGAGATGGTACATGTTTTTTGAAACACCCTGTATACATTATCTACTTCCGAGAAGTACTACTGCGATCAAAAAAAGTACTACAACAAAATATGATTTAATCTGCTGGTCTATAACAAAATATTTTTGTTATAGACATATATAACTTGAAAAATTCATCATTTTTAAAAGGTAGGTAAATTTTTTATACTTTTATTTCGCCACCTATACCTACCAATTATTACCAAATTCATGGTAACGCCTAAAAAGTTAGGTGGCAAATTGTATTGTTTTCATAGTGACGACGATATCCAGTTCTCGATATCCTTATAGACCAGGATTTCTATCCGGGATTACTAATTCTTGTACTACTTTTTTTTTTATCGCAATGGTACTTTGAGCGGTCTATGGAAAAACATGCCAATATCTTAAATTTGTTTGTTGAAATACTTAAACTACATTGAATGATTGATGATTTAAGGTTGATTCTCACTATACCTTCCGTTTCCATTCCATATCCATTCCATATCCGTTCCGTATTTTTTTATTGTATTGACGCTATACGTAAGCTTCCGTTCCGTATCAGTTCATCAGTTCCATACTTTTTATTGTACAATTTATATCATTACGAAAGTTCTATTTTAAAAATTTGTATCTTTTGAAAAAGGTAATAGATTTAACTAAGAGATGAAAGAATAAATAAATATCAGCAAAATGTTAACAGAGCTGGTACAAATGTAAGAACTTAACAACGGTGTTTCCGATACGCTTCAGTCCGTCCGCCAAAAAAATGTATGGAAGAAAAGAATAAGGAACGGAAGGGAAACGGAACGGATAGTGCGCATTAGGTACTCATACACCAGCGTTCTTTCCTGTAATTCTTTCCTTATGCGTTCTTTCTTGTCAAAAAATTGAAAGGAAAGAACGAAGGTCCAATCCCACTAACACAAACGCAATCTTGTTGAATTTCCTGTCAGTTTTTACTGTAAGACTGGCCTGTTCTTTTTTGAAGGAGTTATATTCCTTGCAAAGCCCACTAACACAAAATACCTTTCGTTGCAGTTTTTAAAGGATTTAGTTTGTTGTACTGTAAATGTGACACGATTATTAAAATTTTCCCGCTAGATGATCATTATACTAAGGATCGTGAGATTTGACTTTTATAAAATTTGTGTTGTGCAATACAAGTAAACAAGTGGTGTGCTTTGAATAATAATATTAATATTTATTTTTATTATTATTAAACTATTAATATTAAGATGAAACCTAAAGAATAATTGCAATTGCTGTATTTAATATTGCAATTGAAGTTTTGTTTAAGAAAAGCAGAAACGCCGCATGTGATCAAAGAAGTGGCTTCAGAAACGGAAAATGTACAGCAATATGTATCTGTTACGAGAATTACGGACAAGTGAGCCTACCGATTTCCAAAATTATTTAAGAATGGATTCTAAAACATTTGATGAACTGTTAAAATTAGTTAGTCCATACATACAAAAATTCATCGTAATTAATTCGTAAAACACTAACTAGCTAATAAATATTTAAGACTTAAAAAAACTACCTGGCGTTTTAACAACAGACTTTCCTAACAGGAGAGAACACACGGATATCATCTCTCAAATGAAATGACCCCAAACCACTAATACAAATTTTTTACACGTTTTATCTTGTCGGGCTGGAACGCCAGTAGATCCTGACAAGAAAGACGGAAGGTGCATGTGTCGTGCATATACCCACTAACTGGCGTTCTTTCCAGCGGGATTAGACATTCCTGCAGGAAAGAACGCTGGTGTATGGGTACCTATTGTCCTATTCATTTACATGATAAATATAATATTTTATGTAAACGGAAGGGAAACGGAAGGGAGCTGATATGGAAGGTATAGTGAGAATCAACCTTTAACTGTTTTCATATAAAAAATGGAATTATAATTTACCTTCGATTATGCATAGCCGAAATGGGTTCCCATGCCATTCTTCTTATGTTAAGGCGCTCGCCGCTATTCATACACATGGTTCCATCATTTCCTATAATAAATGTTTACATTATTTCTGTTTTCATTCATACTTATGCAAATATAAAATATGAAAAAAAAACGGCGTCAGCGATGGCTATGAAATGAAGATCACAGTCATTTTTTATACAGGGTGTCCCACTTAAGATGGATACAAGTCAATATCTTGGTTGTTTGTTGAGCGATCATTTTTGGCAGGAGGCTGTATGGCTATAAGACGTACATTTTGCCCAGGGTAAGAAATGCGATACCTCATAGACGTACGTTTTAATGGGGTTTGATATTTTTCGAGTCAAGAGTAAACTACCTTTAGGACAGTATTTATTTCAAATCTGATAAATTATATTGAATCCTCCTTACCCTCCTTAAGATACTTAAATTCTAATTTTAATAAATATTGATACAGGGTGTGGCGTTAAAATAAGACAGTTTTATTTTTATTATTATTTTTTTAAGTACTTACGACGCCACTGGATAAACAACTGGTTAATTATCAATAACCAATTATAACCAATTATCAATTAATAATCGATTTAAGTTTTCAGATAGCTTCCGTAATAATTAAGATACGATACAAAAAAATAAATATTTTCAATTTATTTCGATTACTTTAATAAATTGTTTTTTACATTTGCTAATACAATAAATTAATATATTTTTTAAAATGTTTCTCAATAAAACGAATAAAAATCATATTTCAGATTTCATTGAAAACTGGGTTTTTATATTATTTTGTAACTCATTTTATTCATTTGTATTAGCAAACTTAAAAAACAATTTTTTAAAGTAAACAAAATAAATTGAAAATGTTTAGTTTTTTTGTATCGTATCTTAATTATTATGGAAGCTATTTGAAAACTTAAATCGATTATTAATTGATAATTGGTTATAATTAGTTATTGATAATAAACCAGTTGTTTATCCAGTGGCGTCGTAAGTACTTAAAAAAATAATAATAAAAATAAAAATGTCTTATTTTAATAACACACCCTGTATCAATATTTATCAAAATTAGAACTTAAGTATCTTGGGTAAGGAGGATTCAATATAATTTATCAGATTTGAAATAAATACTGTCCTAAGGGTAGTTTACTCTTATGTACTGGGGTATGTCATCGATGTTCATTTCCAAGCCAACTGAACATTATTTTTTTTCGATAATACGCGGTGTAATTGGTATAAGTTGAATTACCTCCAACACAATATAAATATCCATCTAAAGCTGCTACACCACAACTAGATCTCTTTGACGACATTGATGGAATTGATTGCCATTTACCTTCTCTTGGATCAAATCTAGACAAAATCAGCACGTTATAATTTAGTATATTTATAATTTTCTTTCTAAGCTTTCCGATTAAAATAATTTATTAAAAATTTCTATTTTCTAAATTAATTTTACGATTATTTTTTTCTCTACAAATATCGATCTTTTAGAATATTTAATCGGCATTAGATTTAAAATTAGTATATGATTCCATTTTTTTTTATTTAATTATAATAACTTTAGTATTCCTAAATTGTTCTGGAAAGGAACTTATGTCAGATTTTGAGTTATTAAAAAAATATTTTACTCATCCTATCATAAAAATTTACTGAGTTAATAGTTATTTTTTATACAAGACGATAAAATGGTATTTTATCGTCGACCGAAAAGAATTAATTTCGGGAGACGATAATGCAATTTTATCGTCGTGTATAAAACAATATTTTTTCCACAGGGAGTTACGTTTTAAAAAATATTCAAAAATTATTATTTCAAGGAATTTATTACGAGTAAAAAAAAGATTGTGCTGGGTTGGCATTGGTTTCTATGTAATTTGATAAATAAATAAAGTTGTCTCTTTAGTTGTCAGTTTTGAGTAAATATTTTTTAATTCTCTTTCGTGCCGATTGCTGATTGAATTGAAGTCAGAAATGGCTCAAAACGAAATAAGTAAATTACGAAGAGATATTCAGGCTGAGGCGACAAACGCCATATCCAAACTACTTCCATTTAAATCCCGAATAACTTATGAAAAGGAATACAAAAATTTTCAAAAATGGAAGCAATTAAAAAACGTGCGAGAAGAAATAAAGTTTTTAACCTATCCTCGCTGTTAAAGTATCATTTAATCTACCCTTGCGGTTAAAGTACTACTTTATCTACTATTTTTTATAGATATAAGGCAATTTTAACAGTTGCTATGAAAAAAGCTATTTATCAACTGAATGTGATATAAAAAACAACAATAAGATCCCTATGCGATTAACTTCCACACATGTAAATACCGACCCAAAAGTAAGATTTGCCAGCATGTATAGTAATTAGTAATATATAATACAATAAAAAAGAATGTAAAAATGTTAGTAAATACCTTTCAACAGATGCTTGATAATTAGTCGAATCAAAGCCTCCTAAAGCATAAATGCAATTCTCTGTAATAAAATTTCTGTTTAAGCTACAATGTATTATAAATACACTTTCGGTGTTTACCTATAACGGATACCCTACAATATCTTCTACGAGTGTTCATAGCTGGACAACTACACCACACTCCAGTCAATGGATCGAATCTTTCCATGGAGCTGAGACAAGAAGCTCCATCGTATCCTCCACAAGCGTATACAAGACCATCGAATGAGCAAACTCCAAGACACGATCTCTTGGTACCTTTTTAAACCAAGACAAATTATATTCTCGAAATATATATGTGTGATAATAAATCAAGATCAATAGATTGTAGGTATTTGGACCATGTGATGATTAATGATATTTATTTATGACAAAAGAAACAATATTTTTAAGGCTTTAATAACGACATTAAGCAGCGACTTGCTTGCGTCCACAAAACGTTGCAGATAAAACGAATATGGTAGGCCAAGTTGTGTCTATGTTACGACTTGTCGCTCAGTCTTTTGTATTCTCTCATATCATGATGGGGGAAACGTTGTGGTTAGTTTTTGCTGTTATTTAAAACACAAAAATAATTTCAAAGTCCCCAAGCACAGAACTGCAGCATTTCAGACATCTTTCAGCTTTGTAACGACACAATCCCAAATGCATTCAAGGGTTTTATCATATTACAACAACAAAAAAAACATTCCCTTTTACCTACATTTTTTTTGTTTGATGTGTATATTAATTCTTGAAAAGGTAAATAAACTATTTGAATTTGAACTTGAAAATTTGTTTGTGGTTTTATTTTAATTTTAATTAGGTAATCAAAGCAAAATAAAAACACTAAATCACCACAATACACCAAAACACTTTTAGTTTTACACTGGACGCGCGTTTCGCTAACCATGTTAGCATCATCAGCAGATGATTTATTAGTAGCTGTTTATAAACAGTTTATAATCATCTGCTGATGATGCTAACATGGTTAGCGAAACGCGCGTCCAGTGTAAAACTAAAAGTGTTTTGGTGTATTGTGGTGATTTAGTGTTTTTATTTTGCTGTGTAACACCAAAGGTTCCAACCCTCAACTGTAATTTAGGTAATCAAATACAAATAATAATGTCTGACCTGTTTCGTCCATGATGATAAGACTGATCAAAAAGTCGTAAGGTGGACACAACTTGATAAATATACGATTTATCTCCAACGATTTTTCGACTAAAGCAAATCGTTCGATAAGTCGTTGCGTGTGTCGTTGTGACCGCACTTAAGAGAATTTAATTTGTGCCAACGTTACTGCTACGTTGCTTTTATTACGTTGTTGCTTTTTTACCGAACCAAAAAAATGCGAATCCTATAATAAAAAGTATTGAAAATTATATTACTATAAATTGATTAACCAGTAGGTTTAGAGTTGAGTTAACGTCTTCTTTTTGTTGTTTTTATTACGTTGTTGCTTTTATTACGTTGTTGTTTTTATTACAAAAAAATGCGAATCATATAATAAAAAGTAATGAAAATGATATCACTATAAATTGATTAATCATTTAAAATTAATCATGGCAAAATCAGCTAACATAAACATTAGTGGTAAAATAATGTCTTTTTGCGGACGACACTAGCTTCACTTTGAGCAACAAGGACGTCACGGCACTTCATAGGATTATATCAAATGACTTAATCACCATTAAATCTTGGTGCGATTCGAACCTCCCGAGTCTCAACATTTCTAAAACTAAAGCTTTGTTGTATAAAAACTCGCTGAAGCCTTTTGTACACCACCACCATTGACGTCTTAAAATCTGTAAAATTCTTAGGGTTTGTTGTAGACAATTCTCTAAAATGGGACATACATATCGACGCTTTGTCGAAAAAATTAAGTTCTGCCTGTTTTGCATTAAGATCTGTTTCTAAGGAGCTTAAATTGTCGGTGGCTAGAACTGTTTATTATGCACTTTTTGAGTCGCACCTCAGATATGCCCTTCCATTCTGGGGTGCGTGTTGTGTGAATCAATTTGGCCGCATTTTCAAGTTCCAGAAGAGAGTTGTTCGATATTCACTGGGACTAAACAGCAGAACTCATTGCCAGGACTTTTTTAAAAAATTAAGAATATTAACTTTTCCTTATTTATATTTGAATCCGTTTGCCTAATACGTAATCATGTATAAGCTTCTCAAGAAAGGCCATCTCACACTTATCCACTCAGGAACGCGGAGCAAGATCTTTATCTACCTACCCCACGCTCAGAGTTAGTTAAAAGTTCAATATTATACAACTCGAAAAAAATGCACAATCACCTGCCATTTGAAATCAAATCCATAACATCATTTTCTTCATTTCGCAAAGCATTGAAATCTTATTTACTAGACAAGGCTTTCTACGCCGTAAAGGACTTATATTTTGATAATCGAATTTGATCTTGTAAACACTGGTCTAATATTTGCTATTACTATATATTTACTATAAACTTTCAAAATATTTTTAAATCTTATATTTATTTTTTTTATTCTTTGACATTGTAAACATTTATAAATGTTTATTTTAAACAATAAGACTGACAATGTAATTTGTATACTTGTTTTGTATTCTGTTTTGTTTGTTTGTTTGTTTACTTTACCTTTGTCTACAAATTGTAAAAATTTTTGACAATAATAGTTATTTACAGTACAAGTGTGTTTATGAATATGATTACAACAACGAGTGTGAACGATTAGAACGACGAGGTCGTAGACCGAGTCGTTCTAATCACACGAGTGTTGTAATCATGTTTAAATGCACGTGTCATGTACAACGTTTTATCTACAACCAAAAAATAAGAAAATGCTGTTTTAATTTTCGTTTATTAGTCGCTCACCTTTAACACCTTTAACTATGACATTTGTCACATTTATGCTGAAAAGTCAGTTTGCCCTGTCAAGTAAACGCGAGTACTTTATGCCCAGAAAAATCATTTTAAAAATTACGATGAGCGATTCCGACAGTCTCCCTTGAGATGTAGAACTTGCCGCAGTACGTGCCACGGAATCATTATTGCCGGAAAAGTTAATATATTTAGATGTTCGTAGTTGTTTTTCATTATTATAGCAACTAGTTGTGTTATAGATTCATAACACCACTAGTTGTGTTATGAATCTCATAATGTAACTGAAATACTAAAAAAATAGTGATGTAAAAACGTTATAACTAAACGGTTGTAGATAAAGGCATTTATTTATTTATTTTAATCAGTAGGTTTAAAGTTGAGTTAACGTTTTCTTTATCTGCTAGGGCTATATGGATAAGGCCACTTTGTTTACGCGAAATCCGAACCGCGGTCCTCGCCTATATCATTGTCAATAGCCTAATAGGGCATAACCGATCTCATCCGGCTTTTAATCAGCGTGAATGAGCAGTGTGTGACAATATATTTTACACTTTTGCTACGAAACAATAGCAGGACGGAGTTTTCTGACGTTCACCCGTCCATACACTCATATCGTCTAACGTCGCTTAACTTCGGTTATCTAACTGGGCCGTTAATAGGTATAGTTAGTTGTTAACTGAAATTATACAATTGTACCTATTAGTTATTAAGTTAAGTAATTAATAGGCATTTCAATATACGGTAATCGCAAAACATTTTCCGATGCACGTCATCTTTTCAGATCGAAATTGACACTAAAGCCGATAAACCTGACTAAACGAAATTTTGGCAAAAATGTTTAAATTTATTGTATAATTTAAGACACCGGACATCTCTTCATTTTACTTTATAGAGCAAATTATTGTAACAGATATTTTATTTGGATTAAAGCTGCGAATAGCGACATATAGCGATAATATAGCGTTAATATAATTTGTTTAAACCAAATTTTATTATCGCTATGTTGGTCACATTGCGCCCTGTTCAACAACGCTGTCGTTTATTATTTAACAATTATCTTTATATAATTATTATATTAGTGTTGTTATGAAGTTTATAAAAAATATATTATATATTTATTTAAGTAATATATACCCATAGGAGTGATAGGAGTCCAAATATTTGTTAGTGGATTATAACATTCTGCAGTTGATAAATCTGATGCTCCATCATATCTAAAAGAGTGTATAGACTATATTCCTTGTAATAATTTAATCCAAAAGCGTTTGAAATATTTACCCGCCCACAACATATAGCAATCTACGAAGTCCGGTTACTCCAGATCTCGATCGTCTCCACTGCATTGGAGCTATCATACTCCACATGTCAGTTTTTGGATTATAAACTTCGCATTCTGAGTGTATTGCAAATAATGAACCACCACCTGTAATATAATATAAAAAATATTTTATATTTCTTATTAATATTATGGAATTCTGCTGTAAAGCAATATTAGACTTCCTAGAGATCACTAGCTTAAATTACTCAATTTTACATCTAGACTTATGATACCTATGGCAAATATATATGGATTTGCTCCTTTGGGCCTTCTTTCCATAGTTCTTGTTGTAGAAAGAGCACATCTCCTTTCGGGTGCCAAATGATACCTCATGGCCTCCAAGAGTAGTTCGCGACATTCACTGTTATCTCTTATTAGTTGTTCGTTGTCTACTCGTGTCATTAAAAATTCTCTGTTCACCAATGGCAGCCTTACGTGTATCATCAACTGACAAAATAAAATATATCTTCAGATATACCGGGTGCGTCTCAAAAGTGGCTCACCCCTATAACTTTTGTATTTTTTTAGATAAAAAAACGAGATTGTTATGTTAGTATATTTATGACAAAAATTAGGATTGATTGACGTATTCAGTTGTTTTTGGTCAATTCCTGTTTTACCGGAAATGACTACAACTTTTGATTTTTAAATAGCATCCTCGGTATTTTTTTGCTTTATTCGATAGAAAATGACATTCTAGTATAATGACATATCATATGTTAACTTTTGACATTCTGGCTTAATAAAAAATCGTATTTTAAAATTCAATGTAGAGTGTCATGGCTATATTAAAAACACTAATTCTTAATCAAGGTGCCTTGGAAAAATAGATTTGATCCTCTAATGTTTTAGTGTCTTGTCCTGGCCAGTTAGAAAATACTCAAATCGTATTTTTAGTCATATCTCAATTTTTTCAAATGGAACGAGGGTGGCTCATTAGCATATTTGGAAAAATCATTTTTTACGAATAATTTGATACCACACACACTTGGTATTTCGAGTCAAAAATTTTCGTTACAAACCTCAAGTTATAATTTCAAATAAACCTTGTGCGAAAATGTCAAAAGTTGACATATGGTATGTCATTCTATTCAGAGTGTTATTTTCTATCGAATAAAGTCAAAAATAGCGAGGGTGCCATTTAAAAATCAAAGGTTGTAGTCATTTCCGTTGAAACAGGAACTGACCGAAAACAATTGAATACGTCAATCAATCCTAATTTATGTCATATACTAACATACCAGATACCTTGCTCCAAGAACATGGGCAATTCTCGATGCTGACACCCAGCTTTTGACAGAAATTGAAAAATTAATCGAGAGATGGAGGAAATACTGCGAAGAGTTGTATACTGACGCGACCTATATACTAGCCGTCCAAAACACGACTACAGAAGAACCAGACATCCTACTTTCTGAAGTAGAAGCAGCTATTCGAAATCTCGGCCTACGAAAATCTCCAGGTATCGACAAAATAACAGCAGAATATATAACCAGTATTGGTCCCACTGGTATAAGATTACTACACGAACTTTGTCAAACTATTTGACACACAGGACATTGGCCAAGTGACTGGTACGCTTCCGTAATCATCTCGCTACACAAAAAAGGCTCCACAAAAGATTGCAATAATTACAGACTGATTGCACTACTCTCCCATGGCAGCAAAATTATGCTATACATACTCAAGCAAAGGCTATCGAACTACATAACTTGGCAACTTGCACCCGAACAAGCCGGCTTTGTGAAGGAGCGAGGAACTCGAGAGCAAATACTAAACCTTCGCCAGCTAATAGAAAAATCTCGAGAATACTACACGCCTATGTATTTATGCTTTGTGGATTACGAAAAGGCCTTCGATAACGTATGTTGGGGACAATTATGGAGTATAATGTCTGAAATGGGAGTACCACAACATCTTGTAGAGATAATAAAAGGTCTATACGATAGCAACCAAGCAGTCGTGAAGTTGGATGGAAGATTTCCGACATTTGTCAAATAAAGAAAGAGTACGTCAGGGTTGCGTGTTGTCCCCGATGCTGTTTAACATTTACAGCGAATACATTATGAGGATTGTGTTAGAAAAATGGACAGGGGGTGTATCATTGAATGGTTACAAGATATCAAACCTACGTTTTGCTGACGACACGGTATTGGTAACCGCCAACCAGCTGGAACTGAGGACAATTCTAACAAGATTGGAAACTACCAGTAGAGAGTTCGGCCTTCGCATCAATTACAGAAAGACTAAGGTGATGATCGTAGATCGCGAAAACAACAACTGTCCAGACATCACAAACATAGATCGCTGCGAAGTTGTACAACAATTTATTTATTTAGGTGCACTTATATCTAATACCGGTAGTTGCGAAATGGAAATACGCCGCAGAATTCAACTGGACCGTAGCGCTATGACGCAGCTCACGAAAGTTTGGTCGAATAATCACATAACACAATCGACAAAAATCAATCTTCTAAATAGTCTTGTCTTTCCGGTTATGCTTTATGCTTCTGAGGCATGGACATTGTTGGCAGCCGACAGACGACGCATTGACGCCTTCGAGATGTGGTGCTGGAGGAGGATGTTGCGAATACCATGCACAGCACATCGCACCAATGTGTCGATCCTTAATGCAATCGAATTACCACAAAGACTTTCCAGCACTGTCTATAAACGCATCCCTTTCTTCTTCGGTCACGTCAACAGGAGCGGGCATATGGAGAGACTTGTAGTGCAGGGAAGACCTGCAGGATCCCGTCGCCGAGCCAACCAGGTGGGTGGACATGGTTGAAAAACTTATGAATACCAACCTGGAGGGTGCCGTTCGAAGAACTGAAAACAGAGAAAATTGGAGACAGGCGGTGCGTGCGGCCGTCAGGTCCTTAGAGCTAGAACCAGAGCCACTACACGTCGTACGCGACGTACGGACTTAGATGACGAACATACCAGATCTCGTTTTTTTAATTGAAGAAATAAAAAAGTTGTAGGGGTGAGCCACTTTTGAGACGCACCCCTAGGTATATTTTAATACAATAAAATATTAATTACCTCCGATATGTATTTTTCTCTTTCTATTAGATCATGTTTAATCCAATTTAAAACTGAAGTAAAAACATCTTCTTCTGATGAAATATTTAATTGACTGTTAGATATCAATTCCTTAACCTGAAAAAACACATTAATATAAAATATCAATAAAATTGCCTCATTACCTCTTCAAATGGAAGCAACAAAAATTCCTCAGTACCAACTACTTGCTGAAAATTCTGAAGAGCATAAACATGAGATTTTAAATGGAGTTCCTTGCAGGAATGGGTGTCTAAAAATGGTATAAAGTTATATATAATCTGGTTAATAGAAATAATTATTGGTCATTGCCTGCAAAACTTCTAATTCCTAAACAATTAGTAGGATGTAATTGTCTTAGTAAAAATCTACAGCACGCTTCTCGTACTTCCGGCATTTGAAGCAAACTACTTGCTGGAAGTAAAACCTACAAACATACACAAATATTTTATCAGTCGAAATTGTTAATTTAAAATAATAAACTAGTCAAAACGAATTAGGGATCACTTTGATGTATTTCGTTTAAATATAAGAATTAAGTTTGAATGTAGTGTATGCATCTTGGTGTTCATGACGAAAAAAGTTGTCAAACAGCTGAAAATTGTATTTTTATTACGTTATGAATGACTGTGTGTGTCCTCCGTGGTTTCTATGCACTTCTGCACACCGATTTGGCATAGACTGTATGAGGCTCCGAATAATCTCTTGAGGAAAGGCGTTCCACTCCGCTCGTAAAATTTCTCCCAAAGTTTGAAGATGTGGTGCTTGTGGACGACTTTGTAGTCGTCTCTTTAGTAGGCCCCAAAGGTGCTTAATAGGATTGAGATCAGGGCTATTAGCAGGCCAATCTATAATTGTGATATTGGACTCTTTCAGGTATCGAGTAACTACTCTTGCAGTATGAAGCCTGGCATTATCCTCTTGTAGACCATGCTGAGCAGTAAATGGAATAACACATGGTTCAAAAATTTTTTCTCTGTATCGTTCAGCATTAATTATGCCGTCTAGTAAGACATGCAAGTCTGTACGCCCATTTAAAGTTATACCTCCCCATACCATGACGGAACCTGCACAAAAATGAATTGCTTTTCTGACTGTTGTGTCCAGACACTGTGTTGGAGTGCAACGCTACTGGGACAAAAGAATGCGCTAATCCGTATTTCGGGCCATATGTTTAAAACACTTGACTGTGACGTAAGATGCAAAAGGACGCGAAGTGTCGCGTCCACTTTTGCCTCTTTTTTCTAACACTTCTTGTTATGAACTCGCTTGTGACACAGTCGAGACGCGCTCTTAATTACTTACCACTCTCAAAGATTTTTTGGAAAAATACTCTTTCATATTCATTTCTTACGTATTATTTTATAGTACCTATTTGTTAGTATTTAGAACTTGTTTATAAGTGTTTTATTAGTTTGGACTATCATTACTGAATAAACCCAGAAAAGTAAGAAACTCTCCTACATGGTGGATAAGGCAGACCTTACTCCCCCACATTTGGTCCTTCGAGCCGGATTTGGTATACGTCAAAGCCTGGAAAGCTAGACGTGCTCTCATTTCATCCTCAACAACTGCTGGAGAATTTGGAATTTGGTAACCACACATCGACAGCAGGAATCATCGAATCTCACAGCTAAATAATAAGCTGCAACAACGGTAAGTGTTTAATTCAACTATTCTCAATTTCGCAAAGTGTTAGTGTCTCGTGCGTACGCTCTCTCTATCTCTCTCTTAAAGAACGGTGATTTACGCAAATGTTGATATAAAGACAAGAATCTCCAATATAAGACTGTATTAACTCATTTTTTGTATGCTTAGATTTATGATTTTCTGTTGTTAAGTTTACCCTTTTTCATTTAAAACCTGTCAAAAGTCAGGGTCATAATCTGTCTCAAAAATAATTAGATGTTTCTCAATTTATTTGCTCATATTTTATCACTACTTTTGGATTAAAAATTGTATTTATTTTGTATATTTAAAATAAGAAAGCAACATTATTAACTCGGTATAATTCTCTAATTTTTTCCAATAATTAACATTAAAATAGATTTGTAAATCGGTTTAAATCTCTGTTAAAGGTAATATATTCTACTTGATTTAATTAATTAGTATTAAAATGGATCTGGATAAACTAAAATCTCTCCGATCATCAGCGAAATCATCTTTGACGAGGATTCTCAATTGGACAAATGTAAACAAAGACATAGTAACTGACGCAAATGAATTTAAAAATCGAGAAATAAGTCTAAAAAATGCTTTTGAAAAGTATAACTTTGCTCAGGATGCAATTGAGAATCTCGTTTCTGATAAAATTCCAGACAACGAAAACAGAGAAGAAACGGAAAATAAGTTCTATACAATAATCTCTGTAGTACAACAATGTATAAATAATTTGACGCTGCAGAATCTATCAACCTTACCTCAGAGAACTAACTCTAATTTAAGGTCTACACCAGTAAAGCTCCCGGACATCACAATCTCTAGTTACCATGGAAATACTTCCGAATGGCACTCTTTTTTTGAGCTTTTTACATCATTAATACTAGAAAATCAACAATTAACAGATGTTCAGAGATTTTATTACTTAAAGAGGTTTTTAAAAGGAGAACCGTATAGGTTGGTCGATTCTTTGCAGGTGACAAATGAGAATTTCAAAACAGCTATTGATATTTTAAAAAATCGTTACGAAAATTTAAATTGTATCGTTAATGCTCATTTTAACTCTTTAATTGATGCTCCTATAATATCTGGAAAATGTAATCCTCAAAATCTTCGAGAGTTTGTTACTAATTGCAAGAGGCATTTAAAATCTTTAAAAAATTTAAAGCTATCTGACACTCAACTTTTTGAATTTGTCATAATTCACATAATGCAGAAAAAGTTAGATTATATAACTCGCAGAACTTTTGAAGAAGAAAGAGTTGTTACGGAGTTGCCCACTTTAGACGAGTTTTTTGAACATCTCGACAAACGCTGTGTTATTTTAGAAAATCTGCAAGGCTCAGAAACGCGTGTAGTAAAAAAAATCGAAAAAATATCTCTCCATTCTAATACGCAAGTGTCTTATAATTCAGAAAATAAAAAGAATAGTTCCTGCCAGTATTGTAATTTAAAAAATCATCGTATATATTCCTGTACGAAATTTTTAGCTCTAAATTATGATGAAAAAAACAAATTTGTAAATTTAAAGAAACTTTGTTTGAACTGTCTAGGTTCAAAACATTTTGTACACAATTGTGATTCTCCGCGACGTTGCATTCACTGTAATAAAAAAAATCATTCAACAATGCATGTACGGAATAATTTAGACAATAATTCTTCTCAGCATGTGCAATCGCCTCTAACTAACAGAAGTACAAATTCTAGCAATAATACTCCTAATTATAACATACAAAATTTAAGTTTAGACACTTCACAAACTGCTCAAAATAATTACCAATTACCAATTACAAATTCGAATTCTGGTAATAACGATTCACATGAAACATCGCGTAATCAAGTAGCAACAACGTCTCTCTCTTCTAGCTCAGCAAAAAGTTCACAACTTCTCTTAGCAACTGCCCAAGCAAGTTTGTACTCAAAACAAGGAGAAAAAATCTCAGTAAAAATTTTGCTCGACAATGGATCTCAAAATTCATTTATTACTAGAAAAACTGTCGATAAACTTGGTTACAAACCATATACCAGAGCTTTAAACATCTCAGGTATCTCTCAATGTAGTACGTTGTCTAACGAGATGATAGATATATATTTGCACTCAAATTTCGATGAAAATAAGCGATTTAAAATATCATGCAGCGTCTTAGACAAAATTACTCAATTTTTACCTCAAGTTCCCATACAGTTAGAAAGACTAAAAATACCAAATGAAATTTTGAATAAGCTAGCCGACTCTAATTTTTTCACTCCCTCGGAAATTGATATGTTAATTGGCGCCGATGTATATTATTCATTGATCTCTGAAGGCACAATTAGACTTGGAAATAATTTTCCCACTCTTTTAAATACCCATTTAGGTTGGATAGTAGTTGGCAACGTCCCTCCTCATTGTATAACTCAAAACTATAACACTTGTGGTTTGTCACACACAGAATCTTGCTCGTATTTCTCATTCACTTTTCCTAGAAGAGTAACTGAATCCTCTCACTCCCCAACAAATTCTGAACTGAACTCTGTATTAACAAAATTTTGGACCACTGAAGACATCGTAGATCAAAAGTCTCAGTCAGTTGAAGACGTTCAAGCTGAAAAAATATTTCTCTCTTCGGCTAAGATATTAGCTAATGGTTCTTATCAGGTTGATATTCCTTTGATATCTCTCACGGAACATCAAAAATTAGGCGATTCGTTCACTACTGCTCGAGAACGATTTTTGTCTCTTGAAAAAAGATTTGAAACAAACCCAAAGCCATTTTCCGATTATAAATCGTTTATTGATGAATTTGTTTTAACCGAATGGAAACGTTTCGTTGAGAGTCTTTCGCTTGTCACAAACTTGACAATATGTCGTCATTTATTCCTTAATAAAAAAGTTCAAAAAATGGAAGTTCATGGGTTTGCTGATGCCAGTACAAAAGCTTATGGTGGTTGTGTCTATATACGTACCATCTACTCAGATCAAACCGTATCGTGCAATCTAATCTCATCGAAATCTAAAGTTGCACCGATCAAAACAATTTCTCTTCCAAGATTGGAATTATGTGGAATGCTTTTATTAGCAAAATTAACTAATAAAATTGTCTCGGCTTTTTCAAAAAAGATCAACATCAAAGCAGTTACTCTTTGGTGTGACTCTCAAATAGCTCTGTCATGGTCTAAAAACCATCCGAGCAAGTGGTCTGTATTTGTATCTCACAGAGTTTCCCAAATTCAAGAAATTACCTCTGATTATCAATGGCGATACATAAAATCTGCTGACAATCCTGCGGACATTCTATCTAGAGGATCTTTTTCGCAAAAAATTCTAGATTCTGGTTTTTGGTTTCACGGGCCAAAGTTTCTCTTTTCCCCCGATATAAAAATTGAATATTCTGAACCACCACCTCAACTGACATATGTTCCAGAAGAAAGAAAATGTTCATTGATTATTTCAAAAACTGACAGCTCTTTCAACACGTTCTGGTACAATATTTTATCTAAATTTTCTAATTTCTCTCGAATGCAGCGTTGTGTAGCTTATACATTACTTTTACTGATTATAGATTTGTCTATAATCTTAAACATATAAAAGAAAAACATTTTAAAAATAATTCACGAAAAACATTTCTATACTGAAATTTCTCATCTCAAAGCGAATGAAAATCTCTCTAATAAAAAGCTCGCTGCTTTAAATCCCTTTGTAGATTCAAATAATTTAGTGCGAATAGGAGGACGATTGAATAATGCCAACATCTCATATGACCAAAAACATCCAATCTTGCTTCCTACCAATGACCATATCGTTACTCTCATGCTCATTCGAGAACATCAACGGCTTGGTCACGCAGGCCCACAAAATGTTCTTTCAAATTTCCGCCTGAGGTTCTGGCCATTGGACGGTCTTCGAACAATTAAACGCATAATAAGAAAATGTGTTTTATGTTTTCGTTTCAATGCGCAATCTACTCAACAAATAATGGCTAGTTTACCTGAAGATCGTGTCAATATTTCTCGACCGTTTCAAAAAGTCGGTGTTGATTTTGGTGGCCCATTTTTTATCAAGTGGTTCAGGTTACGCAAGATATCTCTAATTAAATGTTACATTGCCCTTTTCGCTTGTATGGCTACAAAAGCAGTGCATATTGAAGTTGTTTCCGGTTTAACCACGGAAGCATTTCTCATGGCTCTTAAACGATTCATATCTCGAAGAGGAAACCCCTCAGTTATTTATAGTGACAATGCAACTAATTTTGCAGGTTCAAAAAATCAATTAAAGGAACTCGGTGAGTTTTTTAAGAGACAGGACAACTCTGACTCAATTAAAAATTTTCTCAGTCAAAATGAAATCGATTGGAAATTTATTCTTCCACGTTCCCCACATTGGGGGGCTGCCATAAAAAGCACGAAGTATCATCTAAAGCGTCTAATAGAAACTTCTAATTTTACCCTTGAAGAGTTTACCACAATTTTGCAGCAAATCGAAGTTATCATTAATTCGAGATCATTGTGTGCTTTGTCCAATGATCCTTCAGATTTAAATTCTTTAACACTAGGACATTTTCTGATTGGAACTTCATTAACAGCTTTTCCCGAGAAAAATTTGTCAGCTCTTCCTCAGAACAGATTGTCGTTCTGGAAAAAAAGTGCTCGCATACAACAAGTATTCTGGAAACGCTGGTCCATTGAATACTTGAATAGACTTCAAAACAGACCAAAATGGCTCAAATCATCAAAAAATATTGATGTTGGAACTCTTGTTCTTTTAAAAGAGGACGACACCCCTCCCTTGCATTGGCCATTGGCTAGAGTTATAGAAGTTTTTCCTGGAGGCGATGGAAAAATTAGAGTTGTAAAACTTCAAACATCAAATGGAAGCTATATACGACCAATCACAAAAATATGTTTATTGCCCGATCAAGACATCACAGTATGCGAGAAAGAATCTTCTTAGTTTATAGTATATATATTTTCTCATTTGTTTTCTTGTTTTTTCTTATCTTCATTAACATAAAAACAGTTTCTTGAAGCTTAGATGCTTCAATCCCGGGGGGCAGGATGTTGGAGTGCAACGCCACTGGGACAAAAGAATGCGCTAATCCGTATTTCGGGCCGTATGTTTAAAACACTTGACTGTGACGTAAGATGCAAAGGGACGCGAAGGGTCGCGTCCACTTTTGCCTCTTTTTTCTAACACTTCTTGTTTTGAACTCGCTTGTGACACAGTCGAGACGACTCTTAATTACTTACCACTCTCAAAGATTTTATGGAAAAATACTCTTTCATCTTCATTTCTTACGTATTATTTTATAGTACCTATTTGTTAGTATTTAGAACTTGTTTATAAGCGTTTTATTATCCTATTTATACGGTAATAAACATAATTGTTGAAAAGTTCGGACTATCATTACTGAATAAACCCAGAAAAGTAAGAAACTCTCCTACATGGTGGATAAGGCAGACCTTACTCCCCCATACACTGAGCATCATTATGACTTGGTCAAAAACGGGACTCGTCCGTAAAAAGGACGTGCCATCACTGATCCACGCCCCAGTGAAGATGTTCTTGAGCAAATATCCTTCGTATCCTACGATGATTAGCCGTTAAATGCTGCACAACAGCTGCTCGCCTTGATCGAATGTTAACTTCATGCAGCCTATTTCTTACAGTCTCAGTTGAAATTCGAGTTCCTGTGGCGATCGTAAGTAGATTTTGTAGGTTTCTTGCGGTAAGTGTTCTTTCAGGAAGAGCGGCTTAAAGATCGGTATCTTGATCTTCCCGCCTCGTTGTCCGCCTTAAGGTTGATTCTCACTATATTTTCCGTATCAGCTACCTTCCGTTTCCCTCCCCTTTACATAAAATAGTATATTAGCACACTATCCGTTCTGTTTCCCTTCCGTTCCATATCCTTTCCTTCCATATATTTTTTTGGCGGATGGACTGAAGCGTATCGGAAAAAGAGTTGTCAAATTTTTATATTTGTAGTAGTTCTGTTAACATTTTGCTGATATTCATATATTCTTCCACCTTTTAATTAAAACTATTACCTTTTTAAAAAGATTTTTAAAATAAAACTTTTGTAATGATATAAATTGTACAATAAAAAGTATGGAACTGATACGGAACGGAAGCTTACGTATAGCGTCAATACAATAAAAATACGGAACGAATATGGAATGCATATGGAATAGAAACCGAAGGTATAGTGAGAATGAACCTTTACTCTTTGAGAATATGGTCTGCGGACTACCAAACCATATTCTCTGTGTCAATTCCATGGTCTGAAAATGAATGACTGTGTAATATGAAAAAGCTGCGACACGTATCGTTGCGACCGACCCTCCTGCAATAAAGTTGTGGCTCTGATGACACCGTTTGGTCTTCCCAAAACATGAAAATTTGCCATATCTAACACAATTTTAACGATCAAGAAGGCAAAATCACACTAAATAAATTATTGTTATTTTTTTATGACGGAAAAGAATTTCGTTTTTGTATCAATTTATGCATGAAAAAAAAATTGTTCTGATGATATGCTGCTATAAATATACGGTCTATAAACAGTAAATACAAATACACATATATGCGATCTCTAATTCGTTTTGATTAGTATATTTACAACTTATATAAAAAAATGGTCTGAATGTTCTTTAGATATTTTTTTTGTTGAACAGATTCAGCAATAGTGAATTGGTCTCTGAATTGCAAATCAGCTCTAATACTGCTTTAATGGATAATATCAAAACTTACTATTTACTAAATCCGAGGACGCTCAAGGAAGAATGTATTCGCAATTAACATTTCATGAATCCTATGAATTTAGAATAAAAATAATTTTCTATGATTGTTAAAAATAACAATCAATAGTATATTGAAAATAGTATCTCAATAGTATATTTGTTGGAGGCAGATATGTCCGAAATAATTAGACATTATGGCGATTATAATAATTATAATATGTACCTACCTATATCCACAAAGTTATGCGGAAGAGTTTTGATTGCATTGGTTTGAACTTCTATGCACAGGGTGTTAATCTTTTGTTGTTATATTATACCAAAAAAATATTAACCCCCTGCGCAAAGAAGTTATATATAAAGACTATTTATAATCACGAAGTTGCACGCATCTGGCAAGTTTAGTATGGACAAATCGCCTTATGTCTAATATATGGACATAGGCCGAATTCGGCATCTGCCTCCAACATATTAAACAAATCGGTTTAAAATTTTAGCTTTAAGTTAACTAAAGATGACACATTAATTTGATATACTCTTGACAAGCGCCTACTATGTTCCTATATGCAAAATTTAAAAGACAACCTTCGTATACACGGGGTTTGACACATACCTGTACATTATCTGCTGTTATAGTAATTTGACCGGTATAGGCATAATCTAAGAGTAAATCTACGGCAGTGGCGTCCATGTCATGAAGGGCGATTTCATTTTGATTGTGTTCCTTCATTTCGCCTAAAAGTACATAAAAGCAAGGTATTGATAATCTACAAAATTGACATATAAGGCTATAAAGGCTTACCATTAAACATAGCGAAAAAGTAAGAGCTAACTGATGCTAGGATGACTTTGTGAGCTCTAAATTTTTCTATTCCTATTTTTAATACTACATCGCACAACTAAAAATAATATATAATGTAACAACTTAATGGTCTATCTACAATTTCACAGATAAATTTCTGCTTTACAGAAAAATGTGTGGTAACTAATAATTATTTTTTTATACAAGACGATAGTAATGCAATTTTATCGTCGTGTATAAAACAATATTTTTTCCATAGCGAGTTACGTTTTAAAAAATATTCAGAAATTATTATTTCAAGGAATTTATTACGAGTAGAAAAAATATTGTGCTGGGTTGGCGTTGGTTTCTATGTAATTTGACAAATAAATAAAGCTGTCTCTGTAGTTGCCAGTTTTGAGTCAATATTTTTTAATTTTCTTTCGTGTCGATTGCTGATTAAATTGGAGCCAGAAATGGCTCAAAACGAAATAAGTAAATTACCAACAGATAATTTAATCTGCCATTGCGGTTAAAGTTAGTACTTTAACCGCAAGATAAAATAGTTTTTATCTACTATTTTTGATAGATATAAGGCAATTTTAATTTGATGTCATTATGACTCCTTTTTGTAGAGGGTGCAACCTACATGTGTTTTAACTGTTTTGAAAAGTAATAACTTTTTGTCCGTACTTGTATATAACTACTGAGTGAAAAAATATAAATTTTCGTAATTTTCTACGTAAAAAATGTCTCTTGGTAAAAATCGCTACGAGCAACTCTTCTCGAGATATTTAGAATGGAAATAGTCAATACATGTAATTATTGACAAAAAATAAACATGTTGAGTAAATAGTTATTTGGCTGAAATGATAAATTTACGAAATTTTGATTTTTTTAAATTGATCATGAAATTTTCTTCGAAAAAATGATGTTTGATGATGATTTGACATAAAAATATTTCAAATTAATAATTTCAGTCTAATAACTATTTAGTGGACATGTTTAATTTATGTCAATGACGACAGGTATTGATAATTTCGATTCCAAATATCTCGAGAACCATTACGCGTAGCGATTTTTACCAAGAGACCTTTTTTTACGTAAAAAACGTCGTGAATGTATATTTTTTTACTTAGTAGTTTTATACAGGTACGAACGAGAAAAGTTATTACTCTTCAAACCAGTTAAAAATATGTAGGTGGCGCTTATAGAGGATAAGTAGGAGTCATATTGACATCAAAATCAAATTTCTCATGTCAAAAAACTCCCAGACACCAATTTTCATGCAAATATTGACGTTACTTCAGAAATTATTTAGAAAAAATCGAAATAAAAATGAAACTTCTACACCCTGTATCTCCGAAACTAAGCATTTTAGGACATACATTTATATGAACTTTTTTACTTATTTTTATCTGCAGAATATGCTTCCGAAGTTTCCGGAATACAATTCGGACCACCCTCTATATCTATACTATTTTTATCTATGCATATTATGCAATATTTTTAGTAATAACAAATTAACATGCAAATATTTCAAAAACTGTTGAATTTACGTGGGTTTATATGTATGACTTCTGGCGTGTCTTCTGTCTTTTGCTTGGTTTATTTTTGAAACTGAATAAAATAAGTAGAACAGAAGTCGATTTTTTTAATTGACCACTTTTGTTTCTTGAATTAAATTTATTTTTATAAGATTTTGTATAATATTTCTATTATACAAGGCGCTCATTCTTCGGTTTAACTGAAAGTGGAAATATTTGAAAAAAGTTGACTTTCAAATACCTTCCTAAATCTAAAATATCCAGATTTGTATCTAAAATAGATGGATTTTTATCTAAATTAGACCTTAAAAACTGGTAAAAACCGGTTGTGTTAAAATATACTGTTTTTGGGGATTTAGTAAGTAAAAATATGAAAATCATATGAATTTTGATATACCGGGTCGGCATTTATGGCCTAGGGTGGCCAATCATATAATATCATATAAGTATAAATATAGGACAATCATATAAGTATAGATATATCTGTGGTATCAAATAATTTGTGAATTGACGAATATTTCCACCCATATTCGGGTAGTTAAAGTTCTTTACTTGTTTTAGCCAACCGAGGCCATAAAAAGAAAACCGTCTCGGAAAATCGATTAATAGCATTTTAACGATTAATTCTGCCCTAAAAACAAAAATAGGTAACATAAAAAGGAAAGAAGTGCCAAACATGGGATAATTTTATAATAGACGTTATTTTTATTCTCTCATAATCTGATAAAATTATTTTTAAAATATTCTATTATACTCTAAAAAACGACATTCGTAGAGTGAGGAAATTTTGTTTTTGTTACATATGTTAACTATATTAACTGATATTAACTTAATTATCTATGGCTTCTTTTAATACCAAATAAAATATATTAGCACAGACTAACTTGTTAAGTCAGTTTGTGATATTAGTGAAAAAATGTCATTTATTGATAATTTTTCCACTTTTGAGGTTGTAAATCTTTCCTGATCTCAGTTGGGTTGCGAATTAGGTTATCATTTATTAAAAAACATATGAAAAAGTCCTTATAAAAATCTGCACATTTCAAAAAATGTTTAGACATTTTAATGACAATAGGAAATAATAAATTTTAAGAAACAAAAATTAAGGTTGAATATGATTATTTTATGTAAAACTATTTTACGTTTTTTAAAACATCCTGTATACATTATTTTTCTGTAAACAAATCGCCACAACTAACATCTAGATATGAATAGTAAATTATCTACAATTTCTACGCATGCAACTAATCGCATTGATTTGGCTGTCCTTTATAAAAAAATGAACTAAGTAGGTATATTACTTTTTCGTTACTTGAATTACTAAAGTGTCTATAGTATCACAGATTAGGTATACTATATGTATACAGATAAAAATCTTGTCCCTAATTCCTGGTACGAAAATTGCTTTTTATGACGATGAGCAAACGAGTAAAATTTCCTGTGCGCAAAAATAAACGTTAAACAAGGTTAAAACTAGTGTTGGGAAAATTCGAATTAAATAATACGACTAATTCGATAGTAAATTAAAACTAACTAATTCGAATTATCTTTTTCGATATAATCGAGATAAAAATTAGTAGTATTTTATATTTATCTGTGGTAACCGAATTACAATGAACATAAAACTTAACCTCTTATGGACGAATACGAATATTAGTAATTAGTATAGTACTATTAGTAGTATTCTTTCGTTCTGAACGAACTGAAAATTTTCACTTAAACTGATTTATAAAGGGAATCGACAAAGAAAGGAACGATCCGATATAGAAAAATCCAGAAATCATTGTGATTTCCTATACCACGTAGGAATAAATCAGTTTAAGTGAAAATTTTCATTTCGTTCAGAACGAAAGAATACTACTATTATAGTATTTGGTTCATTTCCATCTCACCCAAATTTCACCGAACACCTGCCGAACACAAAAATTAATTTTCTTCTTTTATCTAAATAATTATTGATTGCAACTGATAAAATAAAATAAAAAGAAATGCGAACCGCACGTAAACAAGGACATACTTATATCGTTTCAGAAGAAGCTTTTATTTTAGATATGAGCTTTTCAATAGGAATTGAAACAATCATAAACTCGGCACTTTTAAATTTAAAACTTTAAATTATGGTTTAATTTATTAAACGGCTCCGGCACAGTTGATAGAATACATTGAATAAAGAATATTTTATTTTATTTTTTATTCAGTGAGAGAATATAGGTATGGCAATGGTTCAGATTTGTTTAAAATAGCCCCTAGACGAGCACTAGCTGGGACGAATTTATTTTTAGGTTAAATTTATAATACTACTAAATAATTCGAATTATTAATTCGATTGTGAAATATGAATTATTACTAATAATTCGATGGTGAAAATAATTCGATTATTCCCATCACTAGTTAAAACAGCGTAATAACTGGGCCGGTCAGGCGCTGTGCACCATTTTAGAGGCCATAAGTGGGCGGGCTATGTGTGCAAACTAGGAACCACGAAAAACAATGCTTTTGACGATAAGTGTATAATCGGTATAATCTGTGATGGTATTAACAATAAATATTATGAGAATATTATTGACGTATTATCGTTATTATATAATTCTTTCGTCATATTACTTATGTTATACTACCAGGGCCGGACTTAACGAAGTTGCCGCCCCAGGCCAACTAAAACTTGCCGCCCCTTAACATTTTTTTTAATTAAAAAAATTACGGATATAAAAAACATTTATTTGAATACAGGACCAACAACAGAATAGACCGACAGAACAGATCAACACAGAACATAAAATAAATATTAAAATATTCATATAAAATGACAACAAACGAACAACAAAACTATAAGGTTTGCGTATATGCCTATTTAAGCTTAATTTTCATGCATCCGTTATCCGACGACACGTTGATCCTTGATTAATTTTATTGGTTGAATTTAAACACTTCGATTGTTTAGAAACGGTTAACCAATCGAAGCCTTTAAATTCAACCAATAAAATTAATATCGTATCATCGTATCATCGGACAACGGACGCATGAAAATCAAGCTTTAGACGTTCTGTTTCCATAGTGGACCGTAAATAAGTTTTAATACATTTCAATGCAGAAAACGAGCGTTCAGCAGAACAGTTAGTAATAAAAGTACATGTGAAGATTCTTAATGCTTGAAAGTATTTGGAAACAAGTCTTGAGTGTTTTTTTTTCATAAATTACTTTAAGGAGCTCTCTAGCAGATGGTTTTGCTGACTTAATGCATTTTATAAATTCACGAAAATGTATTAATTCATTAGGCATTGACTCATGTAAATCATTTGGATAACAGGTTATTAAATGTCTGGACTTATCGGTAATGTCGTCAATACTTAAAGCAGATAAATCACTAAAGAACCAAATTTGGTTGAAAAGTCATTATAGGCACTTTTCCTGTAGGAAATTTCAAGGATTAATTTATCAATAATAACATTAAATACATTTATCCTAAAATCGTCCCTAGCGTTAAATAGAGTTTCATTATCACTGGTTTCATCAAATTGTCGTTTCCGTTTCACTTTTCTCTTATCTGCCGCATATTCTTTCTCACCGAACA